TTTCAAAGCAAAATAGTGTACATATCTCAGACTGTTTATTCAGATTAAACTCTACCTTCACCTTGGAGATATGTTGTTCAATTATATCAGGGTTACAGCTCTATCTTTTTCAGGCTTTTGGGTATTCACTAGACCTGGTTGCCATTTTACTCCCATTTTCCTCTCTCACCTTCAATTTCTTCATCCTCTACCATGTAAGAACACTGGCAGAGAAACAGGATATAAAGTTCTAAAAGTGTCTTGCTCCTAACATTTAAAATGCCATCTTCAGGGGCGCCTGGGTGGCTCAGTTGGTTAAGCGACTGCCTTCGGCTCAGGTCATGATCCTGGAGTCCCAGGATCGAGTCCCGCATCGGGCTTCCTGCTCGGCGGGGAGTCTGCTTCTCCCTCTGACCCTCTTCCCTCTCGTGCTTTCTATCTCTCATTCTCTCTCTCAAATAATAAATAAATAAAATTAAAATGCCATCTTCATTAAAAAGCATTTACCACACATTGGTATGTCTTGGAGACCATGTCAGAACTCTTACCAACCTGGAGATTGAGACGTATTGTCTCAAAGATATTCAAGTATTTATCACATCAGGAAAAATTATCTCAGAGGGAAAATGTCCAGAAAACATACCTTGAGCTTAAGCTGACTCCCTATTTTTAAAATTCTAATTATTGAGAGAAATGTTACATTTTGAAGTCTGAAAATCTTTCCAAATACAGAGAAACAAACTACCATCTTACCTTATCATTATTTTCATCAGGAGTCAACTCATTTCAGCATGATATGCACATGCATTGTTCAGCACTGTTCATTTTACCTTACAAGGGAAGACCTTCAAATATATCTTCAAGGATCATTGGCAAGAATAAAAAATCATCTGGTTCAGATCTAATGAGCTAACATGAGCTTCAGTTAAACAGAAACTTACCAAGAAGAAAATAGAAACTAGACTTTTGCCAGAAAGAAACTACATCATAAGAACATGAAATAAATGACAGAAACAAAATGCCTATGAGATATACCTGAGAAAAAAAGTGTAGAAGTTTGAAAGCAACAAAGAACACTTTCTTTGAGGGTGCCTGGGTGGCTCAGTCGTTAAGCGTCTGCCTTCGGCTCAGGTCATGATCCCAGGATCCTGGGATTGAGTCCCACATCGGGTTCCCTGCTCGGCGGGAAGCCTGCTTCTCCCTCTCCCACTCCCCCTGCTTGTGTTTCTGCTCTTGCTGTCTCTGTCAAATAAATAAATAAAATCTTTAAAAAAAAAAAAAAAAAGAACACTTTCTTTGAACATATTTATGAACAATTCGTAGCCCTTCAGCATTTTCCAAAATGACAAGGAATAATCTGGCAGAGGCCTGGAAGATTATTTGCAAAAATCTGGTGCTTATCCTATATACTGGGAAGTCCATTTTAAGAAAACACATTTGCTATTACTAGTATCAAGATTCCTTCAAATAACTTGTTAGAGTAAAATCTGTGTAAAAATGCTTCCATTTAAAATATATAAATATTAGAATGCATTGGGTTTGTGGTGTTTTATATTTCCACCCCTGGGGTTACATGAACAGGTTCATTATAGGCTAATACCATAAGTTGTCCACATTGATTATAATGACTTTATAAAATTAAAGGAAGGCAAGGAGAGCAGCTAACATTTATACATTACTAAGTGCTTTGGTAAGTAGTTCACCTACATAATTTCATTTGATCCTCCAACAATTCAACAAGATAGAGTTTAACATACCTATTTTACAACTAAAAATTTGATGTTCAGAGAAATTAAGTAGTCCAAGAACGCTCAGCTACCCAGCAGTAGAGTCTGAAATTAAACTTTAAAGCTAAATCTATACAACTCTAAAGCTAATTCCACTGTCATATTGACTTCAAATTTCCTCAGATTTTGCTAAGAATAATTACAGAAATGTGCAAAAAAGTAAAAATAACCACAGAGCCTATAAATCTAAACAAAAATTCCTAATGTTTGAATCATACTATGATCAAACTATATAACTGCTTCATAAATTTCATTTTCAAAGTAAAAGAACATAGGACTCTTGATTTTCTGTTGCTGATTTATACTTTTTTTTATTGTTTTGCCCATTCTTTCAATCTAGCTTAGTATAAGGAAAGGTATATATACATAAAGCACTTTTTTGTAGCATGGAGTATAAATTAAGGACATATAGATTGTACTTCAATATAGAAAACTGCTAGAGAAAATCTAAATTGTTCTTTGGAGCTACTTTCTTGTTTTACATTTTTTAAAAAGCCACTAAAAGCTAGGGAAAATATCTTTGTGTGTGCTAGAGGTGTTTTATTGTAAGGGAATAATCATTGAGAGCACAAGTGCCTATTGCCTACTGAAGAGATCACATTTGTTATTCTACTGGAATGAACAGGAATGCTTTGATCAGAAATAATCGCTGAGATTAAGAATTCCTCATATCAGTGAGGTCATATGACACATGTCTTTCTCTGAGTTATTTCGCTCAGCATAATACCCTCCAGTTCCATCCACGTCATTGCAAATGGCATGATTTCATTCCTTTTGATGGCTGAATATTCCATTGTATATATATACCACCTCTTTTTTATCCATTCATCTGTCGATGGGCATCTTGACTCTTTCCATAGTTTGGCTATTGTGGACATTGCTGCTATAAATATCGGGGTGCACGTACCCCTTCGGATCCCTACATTTGTATCTTTGGGGTAAATATCCAGTAGTGCAATTGCTGGATTGTATGGTAGCTCTATCTTCAACTTTTTGAAGAACCTCCATAGTGCTCTCCAGAGTGGCTGCACCAGCTTGCATTCCCACCAACAGTGTAGGAGGGTTCCCCTTTCTCTGCATCCTCGCCAACATCTGTCGTTTCCTGACTTGTTAATTGTAGCCATGTGCCTGGTGTGAGGTGATATCTCATTGAGGTTTTGATTTGGATTTGCCTGATGCCAAGTGATGTTGAGCACTTTTTCATGTGTCTCTTGGCCGTTTGGATGTCTTCTTTGGAAAAATGTCTGTTCATGTCTTCTGCCCATTTCTTGATTGGATCATTTGTTCTTTGGGTGTTGAGTTGGATAAGTTCTTTATAGATTTTGGATACTAGCCCTTTATCTGATATGTCATTTGCAAATATCTTCTCCCATTCTGTCGGTTGTCTTTTGGTTTTGTGGACTGTTTCTTTTGCTGTGCAAAAGCTTTTTATCTTGATGAGGTCCCAATAGTTCGTTTTTGCCCTTGCTTCCCTTGCCTTTGGCGATGTTTCTAGGAAGAAGTTGCTGCGGCTGAGGTTGAAGAGGTTGCTGCCTGTGTTCTCCTTTAGGATTTTGATGGACTCCTGTCTCACGTTTAGGTCTTTCAACCATTTGGAGTCTATTTTTGTGTGTGGTGTAAGGAAATGGTCCAGTTTCATTCTTCTGCATGTGGCTGTCCAATTTTCCCAACACCATTTGTTGAAGAGACTGTCTTTTTTTCCATTGGACATTCTTTCCTGCTTTGTCAAAGATGAGTTGACCATAGAGTTGAGGGTCCATTTCTGGGCTCTCTATTCTGTTCCATTGGTCTATGTGTCTGTTTTTGTGCCAGTACCATACTGTCTTGATGATGACAGCTTTGTAATAGAGCTGGAAGTCCGGAATTGTGATGCCGCCAGCTTTGCTTTTCTTTTTCAATATTCCTCTGGCTATTCGGGGTCTCTTCTGGTTCCATACAAATTTTAGGATTATTTGTTCCATTTCTTTGAAAAAAGTGGGTGGTATTTTGATGGGGATTGCATTGAATGTGTAGATTGCTCTAGGTAGCATTGACATCTTCACAATGTTTGTTCTTCCAATCCACAAGCATGGAACGTTTTTCCATTTCTTTGTGTCTTCCTCAATTTCTTTCATGAGTATTTTATAGTTTTCTGAGTACAGATCCTTTGCCTCTTTGGTTAGATTTATTCCTAGGTATCTTAGGGTTTTGGGTGCAATTGTAAATGGGATTGACTCCTTAATTTCTCTCTCTTCTGTCTTGTTGGTGTATAGGAATGCCACTGATTTCTGTGCATTGATTTTATATCCTGCCACTTTACTGAATTCCTGTATGAGTTCTAGCAGTTTTGGGGTGGAGTCTTTTGGGTTTTCCAAATAAAGTATCATGTCATCTGCAAAGAGTGAGAGTTTGACTTCCTCTTTGCCGATTTGGATGCCTTTTATTTCTTTTTGTAGTCTGATTGCTGTGGCTAGGACTTCTAATACTATGTTGAATAGCAATGGTGATAGTGGACATCCCTGCCGCGTTCCTGACCATAGTGGGTAAGCTCTCAATCTCAGGAAACAAACAGAGGGTTACTGGAGTGGTGGGGGGTGGGAGGGATGGGGTGACTGAGTGATAGACATTAGGGAGGGTATGTGCTATGGTGAGTGCTGTGAAGTGTGCAAGACTGTTGAATCACAGATCTGTACCTCTGAAGGAAATAATACATTATATGTTAAAAAAAAAAAAAAAAGAAGAAGAAGATAGCAGGAGGGGAAGAATGAAGGGGGTGGGAATCAGAAGGGGAGATGAACCATGGGAGACCATGGACTCTGAAAAACAAACTGAGGGTTCTAGAGGGGCGTGGGGTGGGAGGATGGGTTAGCCTGGTGATGGGTATTAAAGAGGGCACGTTCTGCATGGAGCACTGGGTGTTATATGCAAACAATGAATCATGGAACACTACATCAAAAACTAATGATGTAATATATGGGGATTAACATAATAAAAAAAAGAAAAGAAAGAAATAATCCCCAAGTCTTCTGCACCCTTTTTGTTCCTATTTTTGATCATCAGGTCCAAAAGTGAAAGATAATTTTGTTTCAATTTTTCTCTTGGCTAATTATATTCTCTTATACTTAATTATGCTTAAAATAAATTCAGATTATACTGAAGAATCATTAAAAAATCCTAAATCATAAGAAATCATCCCAAAATGCTATCATTTTTTTTCCTCTATAGAAAATAGATCAGTGACTAGACGCCCGGAGCAAGCGCAGTGAGGACCATGTTGCTTCCGAACATCCTGCTCACCAGTACACCAGGGGTTGGAAAAACCACGCTAGGCAAAGAACTTACATCAAGATCAGGACTGAAATACATTAATGTGGGTGATTTAGCTCGAGAAGGGCAGTTATATGATAGCTATGATGAAGAGTATGAATGCCCCATTTTAGATGAAGACAGAGTAGTTGATGAATTAGAAAACCAAATGAGTGAAGGTGGAGTCATTGTTGATTACCATGATTGTGATTTCTTTCCTGAACGCTGGTTTCATATAGTTTTTGTGCTGCAAGCAGATAACAGTGTACTGTACAAAAGACTTGAAACAAGGGGTTATAATGAAAAGAAACTAAAAGACAATATTCAGTGTGAAATTTTTCAAGTTCTTTATGAAGAAGCATTAGCATCCTACAAGGAAGAAATAGTACATCAACTGCCCAGCAATAAACCAGAAAATCTAGAGGATAATATCAATCAGATATTGAAGTGGATTGAGCAGTGGATCAAGGATCATAGCTCCTGACTTACAAGACTGGCCACTTTACAACCACTCTTGTTATATCCCTGCCATAATGAATAAATTTTCCAGTTATCAGTAAAAAACTTTCTTATTATGATTGTGCTGCAGGACTAGTAGATGGATAATCTAAAGGTTTATGTTTGGGCTTTTTTTCCTCCATGAGAAAGCAAAACATTCTCAAGTATAGTATATATAATATCATTAAGGATTTAGAGTAAAAACTGTCATCTTAAATGCTTCAACTGCTGAAGAATAAATAAATCTGACCAAATGGGTGGCTATCTTCTAAGCTGGTTACAAAAGAAAATGAAGATGATCCCTTAAAATAAAACTTAAGACTAAGGATAAAAAAAAAAAAATAGATCAGTGACATCTAAACAATGCAAAAATCCCAAAAGATTTAGAGGTAATTTTCCCAGAGTTCATTTAATCCATTTCTGACCATAAGCACTCATTACAAAAAGCATTTATTCAGACTAAGTAGAACTGAAAATATAGATTATCCTAAGCAAACAATTAGAAGTCACGTAGTAGACAATCAGATGCATTCAATATTTGTTAGAGTCTAAAACTGATAAAAACTTTAAATAAAAGTCATGCTTGAGGGAGAAAAAAAACACACCTTCTACTTAATGTTATCTAGAAAGAAAATCAAGAGTTTACCTCACTGTTTACTGGGAGCAGCAATCATATGCTCTGGCGAGAAATACTAATTAATTCCTAGGTTCTTTGCTGTTATTCTACAGAAGGGATTACAAAACAACCAATGACAATGACCCTTAAACAATATGCTCTTTTAGTTGGTATTTTAGTCAGAATGTATGACCCTTTATTTAAAAAAAAAAAAAAAAAAAAAAAGCCCTCACTTGTGAAAAACCTTTCAAAGAAGTTAATTCCTATCTATGTGATATAACTAGGATAAAGCAAAACCAAAGCCATCAATATTTAGTATAAAAAGCTCACCAGCTGAAGTTGGAGCCTGGAGAAGAGCACAAGGAACAATCACGTGTGAATGGCTCCCCCCACTACAGCGGCTGCACACAGGGACTCGGCAGGGACGGCGCTGGAGACCTGGGCCAGAAACCCAGGACCAAGAGCTGGCAAGTTATGTCCTGGACCACCTTGTGGAGCGCAAGTGGCCCATGACCTGTGCTACAGCCACATTTATGGGCACTTCCAAGAGCAGAAGTTCCAGCTGAAGCTCCCAGCCTGGGGCACCGAGTGGACCCGGGGGTGGGGCAAAGCACACCACCTCAGCCTTCCCAAGAGCACGCTGCTGCAGTCCATCACCAACACGTGGGTCATCACTGGCTTCTTTGCGGAGTGAAGAAAGGACATTAAGGAGTTGGCTGCCTACCTGGTCTCTTGACATGGGACCCTGCAGAGACTCAACCAGGGCCATTTACGAAGTCACGCCTGGGGAATGCTCCACCGTTCCCCAAACCCTTTCTGCTCACTCCTCATCTTCAGGGTGGGAGCTACCAAGGGCAAGGTCCCATGGGTGTAGAAAGTGTTTACCCAGCAGCTGAAGCAAGTATGAGGAGCGGGTGCGGGAAAGGCAGCAGCGCTGGGAGACTGGTATAGCCTACTCACCGCCTGGATGCCTGTGCCCTGCTCAAGAAATGGGAGACTGGGCACCACTGACCACCATCAAGTGTGGGAGACTGCAGAAGACTCTGGAGCCTGCCCTGAACCAGACCTTGCTCCAGCTCTATGGCAGCTTCATCCCTCTGGATGACTGGAGTTATGCTAGGAGACAGAGCCCAACCCCTAAAAATCTTAGTGTTTGAAAAAATAAAAACAAAGACACCTGTATTCCAATTCAGTGACAACAGTAAGACCCAAGCAAGTGTTTCTTCTCTTTTGCAGCCAAACATACAAGTTCAAAGGCATTTCTAATACAAAACTTCATTGCATTGGTTAAAGAAAATTTTTTGTTGTAATAGAAATGAGAGCAGAAGCAGAATTTTCTTGTTATTGTCCAGCAGCTGTGGTCCCTACAGCTTGTACTCAATGGGTCTGCCAGATGCAGCTAACCACCTGTAACAGGTTTTTTATGGGCTTTGAACTTTAGAATCAAGTTTAATTGTTCTAAAAATATATTCAAAAATGTTTTAAAAATTTAATACTTTTTAAAAAATATAAAAAGTCTATCTGAAAAGGCTATATACTACAGGATTCCAACTACATGACATTGTGGAAAAGGGGAAACTATGAAGACAACAAAAAGATCAGTGGTCACCAGATTTGACGGTGGGGAGAGGGATGACTAGGCAGAGCACAGAGGATTTTTAGGGCAATAGAAATACTCTGTATACGATTATGATGGATACATGTCCTTATACATTTATCCAAACTCACAGGATACACAACACCAAGAGTGAACCGTAATGGAAACTGTGGACTTTGATTATTATCATGTGTCATTGTAGGTTCATCAATTGTAGCCAATGTACCACTCTTGTGGGGAAGGTTGATAATGGAGAAGGCTATGCATGAGTTGGGGAAGGCGGTATATGGGAAGTCTCCGGACTTCTCAATTTTGCTGTATATCTAAAACTGCTCTAAAAATGTTGTCTTAAAAAATTAAATTAAAAAAAATTTCAAACCAAATGTAATGCATATAGGGTCAGAGTTAAGAGCTCCAGCACTGAAACCACATCATCCTGAGCCCAGACCTCAGATCCAACAATTATTAGCTTTTTCATCTTACATAAACTCACTTCCTTCTCTATACAGGAGTTTGCTATTTAGGAAAGTGGAGATCAAATGAGTGGTCATAAAAATACTATAAGACATATGAAACAATCCAGTGTGTGGCACAGAGTAGGTTGCAATAAATAATAGCAGGTTCAATTTAGGTTTGGTTCTTTCTTTCCAATACTATTTATGTGTGTGGTAGTGGGAGGCAGGGTACAAGAGAAAATTGATACATATGTTCAACACAAGACAAGCAGTTTTTGAATCTTGATTCTTCCTCTATGTGTTACCCATGCATTTGTAGAGCTATATTTAATTCTCATATTTGCTTTTTAAGAAAAAATTTTAGATGTTTTAATTTTTATCTTTTCCAAATTCTTGCCAGTTATTTCCTTTCTATCATTGAGAACAGAGTTTAATGTTTCATCTAATCCACTTAACCATATTGTGTGGGAGGGAGAAGATTAATCCATTTTTGTACACATGATCTTTACATTGACTTTATTCTCTTTATTCTCTATATAGACCACGGGTGAAGAGGATAAAGGGTGAATTTAGGCAGAGTATTTAGCTGAAAACAATGATTTCTTGCCTAAAAAATGATTTTTACTTCATTCAATAAGTATTATCTGCAACTCTCTCTGTTATCTCCATAAGCATGGAGTGATCAAATGAAAAATTTTAAGTTAAAGCACTTCTGTTAATCCAGAAATCTTAAGATATATGTTTATTGGTTGGAAAGATCCAGGATTTAGTGGTATTTAGCTAAAGAAAGCCAACCATAAATAGATATAATAAAAATATACATCCACACATACATAAATGCACAAATCTGATATCTGCTATATCCGGAACAATCACAGTTATGAGTAGTCTTTTAAAATTCATTTGGACTTCATTTAGGCAGAACTTTAGATACTACAATTTTATAAGAGTAATGTAGCAATAATAGTTAATGTTACTTCCTTAGTACATAAACAGCATTTTGTTAGATTTAAAATCTGAACATATGGAGTAGTTCACATTAAGAACAAGTTAGTCATTCATTTAACAAAATTCGTAATCCAAGTCCTCCTCCTGAAGTCATGCGGTATATGTCATAACAACCAAAAGTGGATTTCATTTATTTTACCAAGATAGTATCTTATTCTGTTGCATTAATCACTAATCCGAAAAGGACAGAATTCTATATCTAACGTTATTGAGTATGAGAGAATTTGCATTCTTCATTAGAAAGTAAAGACCACTTAATATTTCAGCTAGGTATGATATGATACAATTTTTTCCACTGTGTCAAACTGCTTATTTCCATGATTGAATGTCAAGGAACCAGTGGAAAAGAGTAAAGGTATAATCCCCACAAGTTATGAGAAATCATAAAGTCACTTTGGAAAGAGGAAAAAAATAAGAGATTTCTTGACATAGAGCAAAGATAATTACCTTCAACAAATGGTAAATAGTTAAAAATTGAAACCATAGGAAATTCTTTCATTTATTCTTCTTCACTATGTCCAGGTATAGTGTTTGGGGAATACATATTAACTAGAGAGTTTGGATCCTTATTAGTATAATTGAAGTTGTATGGTAGATACCGATATTAAGATTTCTTTAAAAGGTTCATGTTTAACCATCACAGAAATATTATCAATGGGCATGATACTCTATAGCAAATTTATCTCAGGCCAGAGTTTGCCTTTTAGACTCAGATTGTGACAATACACAGAGAGAATGTAAAATCCTACAGACTCATGTTAACTGATTCAGCTCATAAACCTAACATGCAAACCAGAATTCCAATTTGTTAGCATATGATGAAAAATACAAATGCATCACAGACTAGTAAATCTTAGCCACCACTCTCTGAGCCAAATAATCATCTGGTATGTGCTTGGTAAGTATGGCCTCAGAACAAGAGTTATATGAATGGAGTTTTACTGGCCTCAGGCTAATCCCTCACAGAAGTTGTTACTCCCATTGGAATATTAAAGATTTTTTGGATAGGGCTCTCTATGTCCATCTCTCCACAGGGGACAGTCTTGTTAATTGACCTTGGTAATAGTCTAATTGCCACTGGCTAGATCTCTACTATATGCCTATGCTTACAGTTACCTTAATAAATTGCCTATTTTCTCTCTTTTCTATTTGTTCATTACATTGATATATTTTAAAGGTCTGTAAATCCTTACCATCCCAGAATCTGGTATTTTTATGGCATGGGGCAGATTTTTAGTTTTCTACCCAACCAATATCTATTCAATTCTTTCCCCATAGAACCACCATGCAGTTTGGATGGGATTATGGAAAGGGGAGACAAGGATTACCCTACTCTACTTCCCCACTCCAGTTCCAGTATCCCACTACCTCAGAATTTTTAATACAATCAGGATAATCCCATCTCCTCTGCCATATTAACTGAAGATAACCCAAGCCAAAGACAATGATCAAGACGCCTCATTCCCATAGTTAATTAATAAACAAATATGTAAACAAGTTGAAGCTAATGAGAAATGGAGTAGGTATGCTACTAGCCTTTGCAAAAGATGGTGTCTTGGAGCGCCTGGGTAGCTCAGTCGTTAAGCATCTGCCTTCGGCTCAGGTCATGATCCCATGGTCCTGGGATCGAGCCCCATATCGGGCTCCCTGC